CCCAGCAATGTGCTCCCCCTGCTGGAATAGAACAGAGGAGCAAGTGAAATAACACACGAGGCCTTAGCAATTGACTTCTTCCATCAAGGGAAGGGGTAGCATCTTTGTGAACCTCTCTGTGAACCTATTAGGGTGCAGGACTGAGGCTCCTACCTCCACCACCTTTTCAGGAAAGCAATGACCATCACAAGTAACTGGGGGTCTTCGGTCCTACTTAAATAAACAGGGGAAGTACATTAAATTTGCATTCCATTCTCTGACCTGTGGGGCTGGAAGCCGTGCCACCTTGATTGTTGATAATAATGAAAAGTTTTCTGAACGTATTGGCTGATGTGGTCTAAGACCTTGGCACATTTCTCTGCTATCTATTCAAAGTGTCAGATATATTAAAGGATGTGCTTTGGTCACAACTCTTTTTCCTTAATGGTAATTAGATCCCTCTCTGTGTTTTCTTCTCTCTCCTTTTGGCTCTTGTAAGATAAAGGGTGATGGAGACCCCACCCCAGGGAGCCTCCCCTTATATCAGATCAGGCTGATACTCGATGAAGGGTGTTGTATCTCACCCTAACCCCCTTTCAACTGATGGACTGATCAAATCAGGTACATAATGGGGAGAGGGAGTGCCAAATTACATAATTGCCAAATTACATCATTGCACAACTGCCAAACCACTGAAAGATCATGGTCCAGCTAAGTTTACACATATTTCTTTTGAGACATATTCAATCCATGACAGGGGGGAAATTTTAACAAAACCTCTGTTCAATTTTGCAACACTCAGATTTCAGAAAGGAACTTGGTGTGCCATCTCTTTCTGTACTATGCAGTGCACCATTAACTCCATTGAAGCACTCTCCATTGAGTGTGTATCTGATTGAAATTCATTTCAATGCCCGTCAAATATGTGTTGAGTACCGTTATGTTGGCAGCAGAGTGGTAAAAGCCATAGGGTCTACAAAGTAAGTATAACGTTCAATCTCTATCTTCAGAAAGCCAGCTTTGCTCTTGGGAGCAACCTGGTGGAACAAGAGACAACAGGAGACAGAATCTATTTACTCATCAGAATGTGTTGTCCTGATGTCCAGTGCACTGGGTGTTTCAGAAGGGCACCCTTGTGAGGGCTGGAGTCGTCAGATCGAGACAGCTTCTTCGAAGATCGGGTACTGACACAAGGCATTGAAGGACAAGCAATGTTCAATTATGTAGCAGGAATACATAGACAACTTTTCTTGGTATTTTAAATTTTCTACCGAAATCTCAAAACCCCAAAGAACATCCTCAAATTACTCCGACAGTGTAAAGCTGTGTTAGTTTGGGTACTTTAGAGAAACAAATCCACAGAAACTCATGTATGAGAGAGTTCTATATCAAGGTTAAGTGTGCACCAAGAAAACATCTCAACCCAGTGCTGCCCAAGCCCACAAGTCCAACATTAACCTATATGTCCAATACCAATCCACAAAGTCCTCCTCCATCTCACAAAACACACACAACGATGCCGGCTGCAGGAGGAAAGTGGAGTCAGTGAATGTGTAAGCATCTCAGCGCTGACAGGGGTCTCCACATGGCTGCTCCAGCACCCAGGGCTGCATTGGGGTCAGTCCATGCGACTTCTCCTTGGGAATGTCTTGCAGGAAGTGAGCCTTGCCAGCTAAAGCAGGGAACTGGCTAAGGCAGCTGCACCTTGGTTTGACCATCACAAACAAGAGACCTGAGAACTCTAAAGGCAAAGCTCGCTGAGCCATTTATCCCTCCGCTCTTCAATTAGCCCCACATGTGTTTATCAGCCAGGTTGGCACAATAAACTGACTACCTCAAAAGCATTCAGTTGCTGCCAGGCCTAGGAAAGGCTTACGTAGAGGTACTCACAAAACACTGTGAGACTCATTGCTTACTTTCCATTTCGATGCCCCTTCCCCCTAAACTCCGTAACAATGGACAGAAGCCGACTATTACATGTGCAAGGGGAGTTGTTTGCTGGGGTTTTTCAGAGTGAATGTGGTGAGACATATCTTTTCTTCCACATAGAGGAAGGAGGGTCTCTCTCGACCTTCCCAAAGACAAGAGCCTGAGATATGCTTCTTCTAGGGAAAGTTTCATGACAGGAACAGCTTGTGATACCAGGGACTATAGCGTTGCTTGTGCTATCACCACTTGGCCTACTAAGAACACTTTACTGTCCTGTGACCAATTGGATGCTGCGGAACACAGGTGGCCTCAGGCCCTTTTGGAGGACCACTGAAAAAGGTGGCCTGCCAGCTGAGGACTCTCAGTCATCCAAAGCTGTAAGTTATAGGGAAAGGGAAGGAGGCAAGGCTAGGAGGTGGTTGGATGTCACCTCTTGAATGTGGGAATTGTGCTGCACGCAGGTGGCCTGAAATCAGCCCAAGGATCCACATGCTGCTCCCGTGAGACTTACCTGTCCCATCAAGGGTCTAGCTGGTGAAGAAGAAGGAGACCAGTTATGTAAGAACATCTCAGTTCTCTCATCCTTCCTCCTGGACAGCAACTCTAATGAAGAAAAGGAGACCAGACAGAGGGAGTCAAGGGGCAAGGTGGACTCCTTCCTTCTCTGAGCTACAGCTTAGGCTTGAACATGAGGGGAGAAGAGCCTTTAAATGTCACATGAATTCGATTTTTATTTATATTGGACAGGATTTTACAGCTTGTCAGATCTGACTTTAAACTATTCGAGTAAAGAAAAAGCCTTGCGAACTGCCGAAAGCACTGTCCAGGACCACAACAGGGAGCTCCCACAGAGGATCATCAAGAAACAGCTGTCCTGGAGCTCCTGACGGCCAGCCGGCTGGTCACAGAGAGGTGGGCACACCTGGCTCATGAGCACAGGATGATGAGCCGGCCAGAAGGGGCAGAAAGGGAGTATGTGGTGGGCGATGGGCCTGAAGAAGAGTGTTTGGGAGGCTCGGTGACTCAGCCCTGCCAGTGGCAAGACTTCCAGGAGGGCTGGGAGGTGGGGGAGGCACTTCAGAATTTCTGCTAGGACCAGAAGCAGAAGGTGGTTTAAGTAAACAAATACGGAGCATTCCACGACGCCTGACGCCTGGTGATTTCCTGGAAAGGGTCTCATCCTTTGCAAAACAATAGCCCCTTCTTTCCGGAGTGTCTCTGGACTGTTCTCTCTGCTCCTCCCTCACCAGGTGTTATTGGTTTGCTGTTGCCAAGTGGGTTTGAGAGTCTGTCTTCACAGGGGTCGAATGAACCTTTCTCAAGGGTCGCCCCATACATAACAAAGTGACAGTGATGAAGTAGCAACAAAAATAATTTTATGGTTGGGGGATCCCCACAACAGGAGGAACTGTATTAAAGGGTCGCAGCATTAGGAAGGTTGAGAACCACTGCTCTAGGCCGGGAAAGAGCTGCTGGGTCTGCACGTGTCTGACTGGATTTGGGCCAATTTGGACCTAGAAATGGCAGCTTAATTTCCTATTAACAAAACAAATGAGGAACAAAGAGGAGAGAGGGGGGGTTGGGTGGGGGAGGTTGTTTCCAGGGCATTGGGAGGGTGCCTTCAAAATTGGATTCCCAGAGGGTTTTAATTATGATCTCTAAGCTAGTAATCAGCAGCCGTCTTATTTATGTACCGCTGACTCTCCGGCTGTCGTTTACCTCTGCAATAGTTAAAAAAAAATCTGATTTACAGCTCTTATCACACCAAACAGAAATGCAGCACCTACCTCTTAACCATTAACTTCCCATGCCTTCTTCTCTCCAGTCCTTGGTAACTGAGAATAAATTTTTGTCTCTGAGTATTGGCCTGGTCTGAATATTTCACATAAGTGCGATCATGCACTAGCTGTCTTTTGCATCTGACTTGTATTTCTCTCAGCATGATGCTTTCAAAGTTCATCCATATTGTAGTTTGTATCAGAACGCATTTCTCTTTCTGGCTGATCATGTTCCACTGTCTGGGTATAGGGCATTAACTTTATCCATTCATCTAGAGAGGGACCCTTGTGCTGTTTCCACCTTTTGGCTAGTGTGCATAAGGCTGCAAATAATTTTCCTTCGACTTTCATAGAAAAGGATGGACAAACACCTTGCAGACAGGGTGATTTACAGCGAGGTTGTTTGGCAAACAGGGAGTTTCAATGTTCTTGCTTTTTCTAGTTAGCTGGTTTTGGGGGAATCAAATAGCTGTTGTGCCAGTTAATTATTCATAAGATAAAGCAGGATAAGGCAGAGGGTCAGAGTGCAGTCTTGTGAACAGGTTTAGTCAGAAGTCTGTGTTTGGCCCTGACATAAGGAAACCAAGGGGATATGTTCTAGTCTGACGAGGAAGCGTGTTCCTTTTTCGTCAAGCTCTTTTGAAAACACAGAAGATTGAAGGATTTCTTCACCCTCCCTGTGCTCGGAGAACACAAGGCTCAGATAAGGTTTAACATTATCAAGCCACTTAAAAATCCATAAATAGATTTTCAATCTTACAAGTACATTTTAAAGCTCCTAGTTTGAGGTACAAAATTGAAGCCTTCCATCTTATCAGCCTTATCCATCTTGCTCATTATTTTAGTAATGCAAAGCCAAACTGCCTCCATGGCAGGCTCTGCAACCTCAGGTAGGCCTTGGTTTCATCTTGTTCTGTGTATAGTACAGAGCTGGAAAATCCCGGGGACTGACGCTAGCCAACCCGGGAACAGCACGGCGGGCCAAACCGCCAATGAGAAGACGACATGGCCAGCGTGGGAACAACACACAGGACCAAAGCTGCCAACCCACCACAAAGAAACCAATCAGCGGTAAGCGGGAGGGGCGGATTGGGGACACCCTGGCTACGTAAACCCTGTGTATATAAATGTCAGCGTTCTCTTTGTTCGGGGCTCTTGTCCAAGACGGAGCACATGGTTGAGTACCTGAGGACTTAAGCCCTGGCTTAAGCTAGTACAATAAAACCTCTTTTGTTATTGCAGCCTTGTGTCTGATCTCCTTCCACTGTTGGGTTAAGCGCTCCCGGTCCCTACAGTAACATCTGTACACCTCACATCGCAAACACTTTTGCTGACGATGCCTTTGCCAATGCAGTGCCTCCTTTCAGGAGCATTTTCCCTTCTGCGTCTGTAGTGCACTTGTCTTTGCATACCCATTTTATACCCATTTCAGGTAGCACCTTTTTGGGGAGCCTACCGTCACCTCCTCTCGTAGCCTTTGTCACCTACCCGCACCTCCTTTGTCACACTCCATAAATCCACACACCCCTATTCCTTTCTCTTCCTTTGGACTATGATATTGTGCCTGTCAAGTTGGCTCCTGACTTATGGTGACCCCCCATGCTCAGCTGGATTGGACTATTGTGATACATAGGGTTGTCCCTGGCCAATTTTCAGAAGCAAATCTTTTATTCCAAGTCCGTCTGAGTGAGGAAGCTCCTCTAAAAAACCTGCTCATGTCCACATGCAAATCTCCACTGACAGGTGTGTGAGTTCCACTGATAAGTCTCTCACATGGAAGGTGAGAATTCACCCTGAAGCACCATTGCCTCCTGCACATTGGACTGTGGGTTCACCAAGGGAAGGGTCCTTGTATGCTCTGATTCCCTATTTTTTGTGAATGCTCTATGTGTGTTGCACTCGCTAGTTATTGTTACTTAGTAATGCTGAGTTGGTTCCAACTCATAGGGACCTCATCTAAAGCAGAAGGAAACAGTGCCTTCATTGACCACCTATGTAGTTTGAGCCCATTCTTGCAGCCTCTTTATCAGTCTATCTCATTGAGAGCCTGCATCCTTTTCACTGACCCTCCACTTCACCAAGCAGGATATCCTTTTCCAGGGATTAGTTTCTCCTGATCATTTGTCCCAAGTATTTGACATGAAGTCTTGCCATCCACATTCCTAAGGAGCTGTACTTCTGGCTGTACTTCTTCCAAGACAGATTTGTTTGTTCTTCCGGCAGTCTATGGTGTTTTCAATCTTCTTGGCCAAACCTTAATTGAAATGCATCATGTTTTCTCATTCGTTGTTCACCCTTTACATGGCACACTCCAAACTCAGGGCTATCACGGTTCCGAATCACAGTGAGCCTATTGCACAGGGAAGAATTGCCACAGGGGTTGGGGTGGGGTGGGGGTTCAGAGGCTGTAGGTCTCCAGGGGAGCAGGAAGCCTCATAGTTCTCCCACAGGCAGAGTTGCTGGCGGGTGTGAACAGCCCAGCTGTGCAACCAGGGCTCCTTATTTTCACATGTATGAGAAAATGCCATGATTTGGTCAGGCACAAATGTGTATTTAGCGGAGTACAGAACAGGTGATCCATAAGTATTTGCTGGTCTGAGATGAATTCTGTTCTCTTCACACTTGCCTCTTTGACCCTCAGAAGCATTTCCTCTTTCATACTTTATGTCACTATTAAATTAAAAAAATATATATCCTGAGAACTTCTTTGTGCTCTAATTAACCCCAGCAAAGAGGTCAGGGCTGTATGTTCAGGTTTCCTTGTTTTCTCAACATAATTCCACTTAGAGTTTCGTATTCCAGCTACAGCCAGAAAAGAACAATAACAACACCTTTCTTCGCGTAGGCTTAAAAATGAAAATTCTCCCCCTGTGACAAAAATATCCCATGCTCATTGCAAAAAATAGTTTTGGAAACATATAGAACACTAAAATCCCAAGCTTCAAGAAAATATAAAATCGAGCAGAGTTCACTTTATTTCTATGTCAAAATGAGCATTCTGCTGGAGACTCTACTTTGGAACCTGGTTTTTCTTAACATTTCAAGATCAAATTTCCATGTTAGTCAACATTCATTTGTAATAGCACACAGGCTTACCAGGAAGCAGTTTTTTTTTTTTTTGCTCTAATAAGGAAATTACCTTTCTCTCACCCCATCCCACTCCCACCTTTTGAGGATAGCCATCTGTGCCTAAAATATTCACGTGTCTAGCAATGTTGACATTTTTTCTCATGAAAGATGGTATGGATATTAGTGCTAAAAATGTTAACTAAACAACAGTAAAAAAGCTGAAAGGAAGACATGTCTAATTTAGAAATGCAGTTTCTCGGTTCAGTTCCAACATTTTTAATTGTTTTCATCTTATTTCCTTAAATTGTGTTCCAAACCTAGAAGTGCAGACATGTGGCTCATGTATAAAGTTATCCGTGACTTCTTTATTGGAGCCCTGGCGGCATAGTGGTTATGTGTTGGGCTGCTGATCACAAGGCCAACAGTTCAAAACCACCAGTAACTCTGTGGGAGAAAGATGGTGTCTCTTCCCCAGTCAAGAGTTATAGTCTTGGAAACCCTCGGGGGCGGTTCTACCCTGTCCCACAGGGTCGCTGTGATTTGGCATCAACTAAATGGCAGTGAGTTTTACTTCCTTATCTTTCCCATCACTACCATCACCATCACCACGGTTGTCCTCAGCCTCACCATCAGATCACTATTGTAACTACCATTCCACCATACTGAATCTTCATCACTATGATCGTTGTTGTCATCACAATCGTTATCATCATCAAAACCGTCACCATAATCATACTCGAAACCATCTCACCCTTATTATCGCCTTTCTCTTCTCTCCATCTTCCTCTTCCTTTTCTTGTTTCCCTCTTCCTCTTCCTTTTCTTGTTTCCCTCTTCCTCTTCCTTTTCTTGTTTCCCTCTTCCTCTTCCTTTTC